GATTAGATTCAAACAGGAGAGACCTCTTGATTAAGAGATGTGGTAGTTAACCAAACAGCTTGGTCATTCAATCCAAACTAACTTAAAAGACTAACAAATGACTTTCATTTAATCAGGTATGAAAACGTTAACTTTTTATTATTAAAGGATAATACTTTTTCTGTTGCCAAAAAATTGTCTTAGCAAAGATATAACCTGATCCCTCCCCCAAAAGAAACAAAAGGAACTCCAAAGTTAGGGGTGGGGCAGGGTTTTGTTTTTGTCTTTCCAGGAGAATAAAAACATCCAACTAAGAAATCTGAAGACCACTGAACAAATGAGACATCTTAAGAAATAGGACAAATCATTCACAGGAAATGTCCCAAGAAAAAGTAAATTGTTCTAATGCTATAACACATTTTCCAACAGGATAATTTTCATAAATCTTCCCAAATGTTTGATTCTGCCTTTCTCCAGAGGCATATAATGCAAATGGTCTTTTTATAGCCCCAATTCCATTAAAAATTAAAGCTGGCTTTGGAGTTGGAGTGTGGCTCTCTACTTCTCTAATCCCAAGCATGCTTATTAAACAATGCAAAATAGTCCAAAATTAAAGGACTATTCTATTGTCACTAATCTCATAATCCTTTGGTTTTATTTTGACTCTTTAAAACTTCTCTTAAGGTATAAATATTATTTCTAAGTTTGTAAGAATATATATATATATATTCTGCTGTGATGTTAATGGTCATAGAGAGTACTAACTAATTCTAAAAATAGGTTTACTCTAGCTTCCTGTATGTGATTTCTGGCTTGAGTCTGAAGGAGGAGGTCATTAGGAATTAAGTTTGTGTACCCCAGATATACTTTATAGATTGTGGTCCTTTAACCTCTCTGAGATCTGCTGCATATGACATTTAAAATATTTAACTTTTTTGTGGTGAAAATTTAAGTTTCTGCAGTGAACTTTGACCATTACTTGAGTTTTCTGTCCTGGCAGGTTCCACTACCCTTCTCTGACCCAAAGAAGCACACAGATGCTATATTATAAATCTGTTGGTCATTGGCTTGGGTTCTTATTGGCTAGTTCTGTCTTAATTATTAACCCATTTCTATTAATCCCCGTATTTCCATGTGGTTTTATCCATGCTGGATCTGCAACTCCTTTGCCTGTTACATGATGACTGCTCAGCATCTCCGCAGAGAAGAGAGTGATTTCCTGTTTGTCCTTGCATATATCCTGATTCTGCCCAGCTACATCACTTCCTGTCTGGCCAATCAGCCAATCAGTGTTTTATTCATTAACCAATAAGAGAAACATATACACAGAAGAACATTGCCCATCAATTCCTAACATTGACCATTGAAGCTCAAAAAAAAAAAAAAAGATGGGCCCCCACAACCATGAATCCACATGAATTATGGTAATGCCATTAAACTAACAACCACTGTCTGAATAGCAATTTCAAACTACAAACTGAATAAGACAACTTCAAAGTTGCTAGCTGAGAGAGGGTCCAGCCTCACAGAGTACCCTATCCAGTACTTCAGATAAGCCCTGAACTTTCCCATTACACAGAGACTGGACAGCAAATGTTACAGCTAATTTACCCAGGATTTGACCTGCTTATATGCTCTCTCCACTCATCCATCTCCCTTCCTGTCTCTGCCCAGCCATCTCACTTCCTGTCTGTCTGTAGAGACCCCCTGACCTCTATGGTTAGCTAATGGAAAGCTCTACCCTCTAATCTTCAGACAAGCTTCATTTGTATAAACAAGATATCACCACAATTATTGAATCTACTAAACATTAAAAAGCAACTATTAATCTCAAATATTTTACATTGGTATGGGTTTTATGAATTGAGAAAAATTTAAGGTCATTTTTGTATTATGTATATATACATATATGTTTCTACTTTTAAGGTATTGTAGCTAAGCAGCTCATCTGAAAATTTAATGTAAAGTTCTAGTCCTTGAAAACTATTTAAGATAATAAAGAAACAGTTTAGTAGTTAGTCATCTATAACAATCAAACTTATAGTCATGTTAGGTATATTTTCAAGATGAAACAGAGATATATTTTAAATAGATAGATGGTCTTCAAACACTTCAAAGATCTACAGAATATGGCACTTCAGATGTTTTAATAATATAAGGCTTTTCATAACAGTGAGACATGCCTGCTACTGACAGCACGAATTTACTTCAAAAAAGGAAGATAGGCATTGGAGATCCACCATGTGGAGCTTACGTTCTTTGTTGCATTGTTAGCCACTGGGCAAGAAAATGCCCTTGCCTCAACTGCTGACAGTATTCTGTCCAAAGAGGACAAGCAGGGCACAGAAAAGTGACTGCTGAACATTGACAAGACAAAGTAGGACAATTTTTTAAAATTCCTGCTTCACAGAAAAGTGTCAGATATTCTAAGCCTGTAGCCCAGAGATGGATGCCCCAACATGGCATAGGAACCTTGGGGTAACTGTCTAGGCAGGCAGATGTCTCTGTCATTTCTTAGTTTTGGAAGTTGCTTGCTCTGCACTTCCTGTTTAATCAGGTAATATATCCTTCTCATGTATCTGATGGAGTTGAAGATTACAGTTCTCCTTAGTTATGATAGAAAGTTAGTTAGATACAAAATTTTGACTCACCAAGATGGGATAGATAATAGAGTATTTTACTTGAATTTGCCAAATACAAATGGACTGAACATTGAGAATGTGTTTTTTTACTTGATGATTGTTCTTATTGCATATAGTTTTACTATGTTAGAATTAAAACCTTTCCTTTTTATTTAGACAAAAGGGGTAAATGTTGTGGGATATTTGTACACTGTGTGAAGAAATATTTATGTGATTTGTTTTAAAAGATCTAAATGGCCAGTAGCTAGGCAGGAGAGATAGGCAGGACTTTTAGGCAGAGAGAGGACACTCAAGGTGAATCTAGGCAGAAGAGGAGATACCAACAAGACATAGAGGGGAACTGGACATACAAAATCAAAGAAAAGTAAAAAGCCAAGAGGCAAAATATAGATGAATATAAATGGGTTAATTTCAGATATAAAAGCTAGTGGGACCAAACTAAGCTAGGGCCAAGCTTTCATATTAATAATAAGTCTCTTTGTCATTATTTGGGAGTTAATTGCCAGGACAGTGAAAGGCACGTTACATGTGTTATGTAGGTATTTCCTCAGAATTCATAGCATGACATTTTAAAATATGTGTGTTGTGTCCTGAGTGTGTGTGTGTGTGTGTGTGTGTGTGTGTGTGTGTGTGTGTTACCCTGAACCCAAATTCTCAGAATTCTAATTTTTCCTTCCTGGATGGAGGAGGCAGACTCAGGAAATGCATCTTACAAGGCTTAGAAATCTCCTGAAACTTGTAAGAGTCTCAAAGCTCCTTCCCAAGGTTACATAAGCAATGACAAGTGTTGGAGAGAGGGAGATTTCTGACTTTCCAGCTGCCTGTCAGTCCATGATGCAGCTTTTCAGTGATGCAACTGTCACAGAATCACTCATGTACTGTAAATACTCACCAACCTCGCAGTTTCACTTAGCTATCTGAGTGTGAAATCGTTTCTTCAGTCTGTCATTAGTGCCCTGTCCAAGGTGAACAGACATTTGTTTAAGTCTCCCCCAGGAAAAGCCGTGCAATTGTTTCCTAAAGGAGGCTGAGCAGCAAAACTGGGTGCAAGTCACCCCGCACCCCCACTTACAGACATAAACATCTATCTGCAGCACTGAGAGGGAGCAGAAACCACAGTCCCAGCCAGTGCTCAGCTTTCTCTCCTCTTCTCAGGACACCACGTGCCTGATCTGTGAAGTGCCTAGTGTCAGAAACAAAGCGCTCTGATGCACCCTTTTTGAGAGCCAGACAAACGCATGAGCCCCTTGGTATAGAATTCCGGAGAAGGAAGAGCCAGAAACAAGTCTGGGCATTCCTTACCTAAAACCCAGGGTTCAGACTCTTGAACATTCTGGGACCAGGAAGCCCTTCCTGTGCATGTCTCCATGCTTCTAGAGTGAAGGGTCCCCTCCTCCTCCAGGTAGCCTTCTGCCTGTTCTCCTCGAGCAACTGTCTGAGCCTATCCCCCATCTCCTGTCATACTCCTGAAGCACTGTGCTCTGGACAACCCGCCAGGCTCTGCCAATGGCGGAGGAAACACCGCAGTCAGGGCCACGAAAGATCTCCATCTTTGTGTGACCAGCGTCCAGCAGAGGGCATGACACTTCTTGCTTAGGAAGGGCTGGTGGGAGTAGGATGGAGTCTTGTCTTATCTGTCTTGGTGTCTCCAGCAATATTCACAGCAGGCCACCTTCACCTGTCCCCCACCCCAGGAGGATGGGGCTCACTCACTTTAGGCCAAAGTGCCTCCTTGACTCCACCAAGAGTTTCTTCATCCCTTCAGGAACAGTGACGTGCCAGTGCTTGGGTGGGGGCTGGAGAAGTGGTCATTCTCACCACCTTCCCTCAGTCGCCCACACAGATAAACTCCCTTCTTCATTGAGCAACTGACATGGAGCAACACAGAGCCTTGAGTACCACAGAGGTTGGCTGAGAGCTCTGTGGGAGACCAGAGGAGAATCCCTAATGGCCACTAGACAAAGGACATTTCCAAGAGAGGTCGTGGGACATTAAGTCTTCCTACCAGCTGAAACGCTATGAGTCAAAGCCAAGAAGAGCACCACTGACTTCCCCGTGAGTCAGTTACTGCCCTCCACCTCAGCAGAGGACCACAGTATGGGGAATTCTGTCCTGAACAAAAGGGAGGAAATATGGAGAAGTGGTGGGAGTCAGGGTCTCTCAGTGAGAGTCCCTAAGGCCAATTTCTCACTGCAGCCCTTCCCTGTCCCAGTCCTGATCCTGGTGGCGGGAGAGTCCCAGCCTGGCCAGGTCCTGCATGGCCAGGGAGCTGCCTGTTTCCTGACCACCAGGGTTTTCAGATACTTTCTTTTATTTGCATGCCACTGTGTGTTGTGGGAAGGTCTCCAAGGGAGACTGCCTCATGTGGAAGGGGAAGAGATGGCTGAGCAGAAAACAGTCACTTCCCCTTTGCTGGGGCCCAGGACACACCCAGAGAGGAGGGGACGCATTTGAGTTCCTCGCTTCACCGTGTGTGAGGAACACCCTTGGGATGCCAGCCTGTAGTCTAAGAGCAGCTGTCAGGCAGCGGGTAAGACAGATGGGCCACTGTCCTCACAGACACCTGAACCGCTAAACCAGTGTCGGGTGATGGCTGCCATAGGAAAAGGTCGAGATGAGGGAGAGTCAGGGCCTGCCAGGGCTGGGAAGCAGCCTGGTCTACACGGTGACAGTCAAGGAACAGCCAACCTTTCTACAGCTGCTGAATAGAGAGCTGAAGGGACAGGAGGCTGGCTGGAAGAAGTCCGACTCCCAGAGGGAGGAGCAACAGGAGAGATCGAGTCCTTGAATATGGGTGGGATAGAAGTTGGAGTGTGTCCTGAAGAGACAATGACCTGATATTCTGGAAGCTTCTCTCTAGACTTGTATGCTTCTGATTTCTTTTAATTGATACATAAAACAGTGAAGCCCTTTATAGCATTCTGAAGAGCAAGTGCTGTGACAGGCGTAAGTGCCCGCATGTGCAGGGCAGTAGCAGCCCCCATCCTCTTGCTCTGAGCCATCTGTAATTCTCCATCCTATCCCATCCCTACTGGATTTTGAGACTTCCTTCCTTCCTTCCAGCTGTGGCATACTACAACCCCATTAATGAAAAAGGAAACTAGATGAACTCTGGTACTGGAGGCATCTTAAGATACTACCTCTGAACTCTGAAGGCTGAAAAAATAAAAGAATGGCTAAGAAGTCAAGCATGACTTTGTAGAGACTTGTGCATCAAACAAGACAAGAATTAGAGTCTAGAGCTCACCAAGGAGGAGCCTGGGAACCCAACCACACAACCCAAGCTTTCGGTTGATCTCCAACGGGTTTTAACTCCCTGGACTCCAACCAAGCCAATCATCTCATAGGCTCTAAAATCACCTCTGAGTTACCCAGGTCCTGTCAAGTTCTGATTGGATTAAGGTTACCCAGGTGATGCCCCTGCCTCCCAAGTGCTGAGATTAAAGGTGTGTGCTGTCATGTTCACTGTTTTTTTTTTAAATTTACTATTTGGTGTGGTGTGTGTGTGTGTGAGAGAGAGAGGGGGAGGGGGAGGGAGGGAGGGAGGGAGAGAGGGAGAGAGGGGGGGAAGAGAGAGGGAGAGAGAGAGAGAGAGAGGGAAAGAGAGAGGGAGGGGGGAGTGCACACTTATGGAGGTCAAAGAGTTGGTTTTCTTCTCTCACCTTCACATGGCTTCCAGTGGGTGAACTTAGGTGAAGGTTTGGGCAGCAAGCCCTTCTCCCTGTTCCTCACCCTACTGAGCTGTCTCTCTATTTCTATACTTGAGTTTTGGCCATGCTTCATTTCTCATGTGTCTGGTTATTTTTAGTTAAGCATGGGACAAGGTATGTGAAAAAATAGTGGCAATCATTTGGGACTTAAGGTGAGCCTCAGAAGACTGGTGAGTTTGTCTTTTAGGGGTTCTAGCGCCTGGGTAACCTTAATCCAATCATAACTTGACAGGACCTGAATAACTCAGAGGTAATTTTACAGCCTGTGAGATGATTGGCTTGGTTGGAGTCCAGAGACAGCAGAAAAAAGCTAGAGGCCAGCCTGACAATTTAGTGAGACTCAATCTCAAAAATAATAACAACATTTAAAATGTAAAACAGGGGACTGGGGCTCTAGCTCAATGGTAGAGCACTTGCCTAGCATGCACAAGGCTCTGGGTTAATTTCCAGAGAGAGAAAGCAAGATTCAGAGAGTTATTGTTTACCTAGTGAAATAAAACAAAAGATGTCAGTATCTAAAGAATAAAGAAAAACAATAAGAAGAATTTCCCAGGCAAACAAACAGCATGAAGTTATGACTCCCAAAGCACCACAAACCACACATGGTCTGCATAGAAGAAACCTGCAGAGACACATTATATCCAAACTTCTGTCAAAGATAAATTACTAAATCAACAGGCGAAAACAAGACAAGGTCCTTCAGAGGGACAGCAGTAAGTCCATTAACATCCTTCCCAACAATGACAGTAAAAGCCTAAAGACAGTGGGTTATATCTGCAATGTGATTAAAAATAAAGCAAAACAAACAAACAAAACTGAAATTCTTTGCTCAGTGAAATATTCTTGAGTAGCGAAGGTAGAGAAAAACATTTGCTGGCAAACAGCAACTGGGAAACAGCAACCCTGAAAGCAAAAGGCCAGCTGGACAGAGTCTGCAGACCAATGGACAGCCCAATGGACAGCTCAGGTTACTGTAGGAACACAGGCAAGGTATGAGGTTCCTGTGCCGTGCGGGTCATTTTAGAAATGATAGGACTGGCTTATTTGGGAATAGCATATGCGTTGAAGAAAGCCCTGTCTCGGTTTGCTGTTGAATTAAATATAAGGTGTGAGATGCAAGAATTCTTTCTCAGTTTTTAGTCCTTTGAATGCTTAACACGCCATCCACACTTAATTCAGACTTACTGAAGGGATGAGTGAATGACTGATGTCAGTTGTGGTAGAGATTTATAACCCCACCTTTATGGTATGGTCCAGGGCATGGAGACTTGGGAGCATATGGTGTTGTCTATAGACCCTCTGGGGGAGCCCTTCTCAGGAGGACCAGTCACGTATACACAACACTAAGCCATTTTCCAAAGCCCCCTGCGCTGTACCTTCTCAGAGCGCATCCCACTTCCCGTGTTTAGCATAGACAACCTGAACAAAGCCCAGGATGGCAGATTTCCTGGCCTTGAGGATGGAGGAGGCTTATCACTAGGAGATGAACAGGAAAGGAAGCTGGGTGACATCTCAGATGCCTCTTATGTATGAGGAAACTGGGGCTCTGAAAGGGAGGTCCCTTGGCCCAGGTCAGTGGGGCAGGGCAGCATGATCTCAGAGCAAGGCCACTTCTGCTGGCAAGGCTTAAAGACTGGTATTACGTGAATGCAGGCTGGCGTCATGACAATGACAGGACAGCTCACCCCTGTTTCCCTCTGTTCCGGCACTCTGCTCAGGGAGGGGTATCAATGCTCATTGACAGAATGGGGACCAGCCGACTCACCCTTGCAAGCCTCGCTAATGTGTCTTTCATTAAACCAAAGTGCCTTTAGGAATGAGGGGTGATTGAACCAAATTACAGATGGGGAAACTGAGGCTTCAAGAATTTGACAAGCTACTGTCAAAATTTAGGACTCAAACACAGGTATAACTGACTCAGGTGTTCTGTTCCCTGAACACAGGGGGTCCATTCAAAGCTCCAGTTTGGCTGCCCTCTAGGCTAAAAGCCTTTTCTCCAGCTCACCATTCAGGCATCAGTGTGGCTCATGAGTCCTCTGAGCAGCTTGTGCCCCAACAACCACACCTGGCACGTCCTCTCTTACCAACCCAGCTCCATATCCGGGATCCACATCGCTTGTCTACTTGCTGACACAGGCATCCCTTTTGCTGCTCCTTACGAGCTAATGCTTTGTCTTGCATCAAACAGAGGGCCTGTGGGGTATTTGAACAATCTCGGCTGGCTGATCAATGAATGAGGCAATGGAAGCGTGGGACAGCTATTAGCTTTAAAAGCTCATTAAAAGATGGGGCTTTTTTAGGTGCTTTCCTTAGCAAGACTCCTCTGCTAGTCAAGCCTGTGAGGCCAGTGCCATGAGGACCCTTTGTTCTCCCTGGAACAAAACCCAGTCCTGAGCTGACACACAAGAACCTAGGCTGGGCTATACCAGGCTGTTCTTGAACAAACTTGTCCGGCACAGCCTCAGGAAAAGAAAAGAAAAAAAAGTCCCCAGTGGTGGGCAGTCTTCCTACTGCTCCCCAGAAAGCAACCTTTAGAGACAAACAGCCCCAGGTGACCAGGAGGTGTGGGGAAGCCTGCTCCAGCATGGCAGGCGGGGCCAGCAAGCTGACATTGTTTGCCTCTGTATACAGCAACAGAAACCACGAAGCCAGCACTTCTCAGAGGCACCCCGCCCCCTTTCATTTTAATCTCCCAAACTGACTTGTCAGCAGCAGGAAGTGACATGACGGCTTTCCTCACAAAAGGGAAACTCCTCCGCGGTTACTATGGGGACTGAGGCCAGGCAGGATCACAGATTTATATAATCTTAAAGGTGTAGGCACCGTGATGTCATCCTGGATACGCTGAGAGGGGGACATGGATGCCAGAGGCTGCTAGTGCAGAACAAGGGAGCTTCAGCTTGCAAAGTTCCCTGGAAAGGGAAGCAAAGGATGCTGTGGAGGCGGTGGGGGCTGAAGTCTCATCTGATGGATGCCTGGAAACCACAGAAAAGCACAGAGCAGGCATCCATCCATGCCTTTTCCACAGCCTGGAGTTAAAGAGCTGGCATGAAACCAGCCCTTCAGATGCAGGGCAAACCGGTCATTTCATAGGGTGGGAAAACCAGACGTCATTGGGGACAAGGGGATCTCATTGTTGCTCTACAGCCCTCAATCAACTTGCCAGTCACTCTTTGTTGCTTGGAGGAAGAAACTGGGGCCTTGGGGGGTATAGTTTTTCCACTCAAAAAATTCAGGGGTAAAACCATGTGGAACACAGAAGGCTACAAAACTCTTGTTTAGCAACTTGGGTCAGTCTTCACTGAGACTCCAGCAATACCACCTAGTGTAGGACACGGAATCTGCAGCCTTGCCTCCTTCTCCGGCCTATGGATGTGATGTTAAAGACTGTGAACACAGGTGAGACACGCGGTGGACCCTGGAACTCAGTGGCAGCCCCCAAACTGATAGCTGTCACTATTGAGGAAGCCTTAAATAATTAAGTAGTGTCTGCATCAACTCTCTCTGGGAAACTAGTATTTTAACGCTTTCTTTTCATCCTGAGATACTGATTTTTATCCCAAGCATGCTGTTTTCTAGAGGGCCCTAGCAAAGGTGACCTGTGAGAGGGGTAGCTTCTGGTCTGGGCTGTGAGTGAATTGTTTTCCCTGGCAGCTCCCTGAGGCAGCCTCTGTATTTTTCCATTGACTGGATCACACTGGAGATTAATTTGGGTTCAGCCAGTGACTGCCAAGTTGAAAGCAGAGGCCCGGGACCCACGGGAAAGGCAGTCCCCGCATCTGCCACGGAATCGCCATTGCTGGTACATTTCCACGCAGGAAACAATTCACAATAGCCAACATCTAGGGCTTGATAAGAACACTGCATCTGGTTCGTTCTGAAGGCATGAATACACTTGTCCAAAACCCAGCCAAGGATACGAGCTTGCCAGCCCAGGATAAATTTTTCTGTCTTAGAACACATGGATCTTCAGACCTGGATGCCAAGCGGCAGGCGGGGAAAGGTCAAGGGCAAGTTCTGTGTCGAGGCTTGAACAATGGGTCTGCACGAGGATCATGGCACCAAATCCATCCTAGAGAAGATGGATGGAATGCTTCCCTTTCTACTTCGAGTAGCACTTACTCTACAAATAGGTGGCAGAAAAGTGGGCACACCGGGGCCAGGAACCCAAGGACTTTGCTGTTATGTCATTTGACATTACAGAATGGATTATGGGTTGGTATTCGATTATACCTTCTCAGCCTTAGCCTGCTTGGCAAGAGTGAAAATCCAGCGTCCTGCCCTGCAGCAAGTCTGACATAATTGCCTGTGTCTTCAACATAGGTACATAGGGTAGCAAGTGACCTGAAGGAGACAGTTGCCAAAAATGTTTCTATGCAGAGGTTGGTGTGCACACCCTCCAACAACTAGCAGGGGAGGTGCAAGTAATTTCTTCTCTGTACATGCATATAGTACTTGGATTTGCTTTTCATTTAATGCATTATTTTCAAAGCTATAAAAGCCTTGTCCAAGGCAAACTGACTATATGATAAAGACAAGTGACAAAGCTCAGAGGTCATAGGATTAGAAAGCACAATGCAGTGTCTAATCCCTGCTCCAGCTGCTCAGTTACTTGGAGCCTCACATCCTCACCTGCACAGCACCGGAGTCTCTCTGGGGAGAGGCTAATCCCATGCCTCGCATATGAAGAACACATTAACCCGGGCGTTCTGCAAATAGCTCAGGGAGGAGAGATCTTGTCCATGATTCCCAAAGACAATGTTAATGAAAAAAAACGTAGTTCAGGCAAATGGTTCTGGAGACACTTGAGCTCCCTGGGTGACATGGCATGGGTGTACACCTTGACCCTATACTAAGATCTGGGTAGCAGCCGCTAGCATTTCATACACTTCACCTACATGCCTTGTGGACCCAAGAGGTACAGGAGCAGACCCCACACACATCCTGGCAGTGCTGGTCCAATGCTTCCCTGTGATACTTGCTCAAGAGTAGGGTTGTGCCGGGCGTTGGTGGCGCACGCCTTTAATCCCAGTACTCGGGAGGCAGAGGCAGGCAGATCTCTGTGATTTGAGGCCGGCCTGGTTTACAGATCGAGTTCCAGGACAGCCTCCAAAACAATACAGAGAAACCCTGTCTCAAAAAACCAAAAAAAAAAAAAAAAAAAAAAAAAAAGAGTAGGGTAGGGTTGCCAAAGAAACAAAGCATCAAGAGCTCAATAGAAACGTCATAATTTATTCTGTTGTATAAAAAAAGTCATCCTAGTAACAAAATGTCTTCTTAGAAGAAGAAATATATTACTTCAGGTCATAAATAATCAGCGAACATACAACTGTTGACAACTAAACACTACAAACCAACACCGGATTTGTCCACCAGTGCTGAAATCAAACCTGCCCTGGGTCTATTTACAAGATAGTACAGTGCGCAAACACAAAAATTGAGGTATTTGGTTCTCCTATGAGTAGACACTGACATTTGTGAAGGCAGACCACCTACACAAAAATAAATAAGTCGTCGGGAATGGTTAATACTGGTAGGTATGTCAAGCATGAAGTTTCTAGAAAACCACGGGCAAGTGAAGAAGAAACCGGCTCAGAGTCCTTTCTCTTCTGCCCTGCTCTGTCAGAGGGACTTGATGTACCCACAACATATTGGTCCCGAATGTGCTGAGCTCAGCAAATGTCTTGCGGTAGTCATTATTATGACTGCTTAGGAACCCAGTGGAACTCGGGAGGGGAGGGGGTGGGGGTTAAATAAATAAGGACCAGCTCAAATGAGCCTTTCCCAGAGTTATTGCATTGCTCCTCCCACGGGAGGAGTGGCGTCCCGGTGGCACGTGGGTATCCACACCTCCCCTGGCGCTTCAGCAGCTGGGAGAGGTCGTGATGGGGCTCTGAAGGTAGTTCAGGGCACTGTTCGTGGGGTGGACCGGGATGGAGACCGGGAAGTTGAAGACAGTGGTGGTGGAGGTGCCCCGGTCAAGGACAGTCATGGCAGGACTCCCAGCTTCAGCAGAACAGTGCGGGGCCAGAACCTGGGACTCAAATTGCAGCAGCTGGCCCATGAAGCTGAAATTGGGAGAGATGATACTCCGCCTCTGCTTCACAAATTCAAAGGCCTCGTCCAGCTTCACTCGGTTAGTCCTCATGAGGTAAGCAAGGCAGATGGTGGCTGACCGGGAGATGCCTGCCTGGCAATGGACAAATACTCTCCCTCCAGCATCCTTGATGGAGTCTGGAAAACAAAGTGGTGGGTTACTCAAAAACTCAGGAGACCAGCCCAAGCCCAGGTCAAAGACAGCTAAGAAATGCTACGCGGGACCTGTCCAGATATGGCTAGGGTCAGCTTCATGCTATCACATGGACTTCATGTGTGCATTGTGTAAGGGGTAACAAGGAATTTCAATCCAGACTAGGTATTTCCACTTATAATGCTGGGCAAGTCAGTCAGTTTAACTATCTGAGTCTGGCTTTGCTACTCCATGAGGAAGAAGACTCGGGTGAGGGTCATTCAAGCCATCACCCAAGAGGCTGGACTCAATGTGAGGACAGAAGGCAGAAGTCCCAGACACCTTCATTTACCTATGAAGTCAATGGCCTCGTTGAACCAGGAGCTGATGTCAGCCTTGTGGTTGTCCTCCACAGGAATGCTCTTGTACTGGTAGTGACCCTCAAAGTGGTTAGGACAATTGGCCGAGACGTTGATCAAGGCAGTGATGCCCAAAGCATCAAGCATGTCCTTCCGGGAAGCATGATAGGCACTGCCCAGGTACAGGAAAGACAGGATCTCCACTGGGCCCCCCTGGAATCCAAAAACAGTCCAGCATTCATCAAGCTTGTTCAGAGTTAACACGAGCACCCACGCCCACAAAAACTCCCTACTGAAAAAGGGAGTTTCAGACACTGGTGACCTCAGCATTGACAGCATATTAAAAGAATAATAAAGAATCAGGTCCATTGGCTTGGACAGAGCCAACAAGCTCTTACATGCCAGCAACTGGGAGACTCGGCTCCAGCCAATCGCTTCACTGTGGAATAAAGATTCCCCATGTCCCCTCAAGTATAAATAAAGCTGCAGTCACTTTCTGTTTTCTCCCTGACACAGCCCTTCCAGACCTCTGCCAGCTCTGCCACCCCCTCCCACCCCCACATAGACCGAGACTCTTACTAACCTGATCATAGAGAGGGGTGCTACAGGAGCTGCATCCGGATTCTGCGCTGTCAGGGACACTAGTACTCAGGGGGAGGCTGAGCCCCATGGGGGTGGACTGTTTGCTGCACAGCTCAGGGCAGGAAGCCGAAAACGCTTCATATCCTCCTGAGAACACAAAGGAACACATTTTCCCATTAGCATCACCGACACAGTACCTGGAGACAAGTCACCCACCCACCGAGGGCTGCGAGTTTACATGGAGGGCTCAGGGAAGTCTTTGTTCCTGAAGCCAAACAAAGCCAGTGACAAGTCCCTGGAGACTGGACACCGGCACTCCAGGCGGGACGCCCCTTTCCTAGCTAATGGCAGAGGTCCTGCCAGAACGAGCGCGTACCTTGGAGGAAGAAGACTTGAGTGGTGCGTGCTTCTCGGCAGAGCGCGCCCGCGGCCAGGGCTAGGGTGCCGTCGCGCTTGGCGCCCTCCAGGGCGACGCTGCGCTCGTCCAGAAGCACCACTGCGTGGTAGGCGCCAGCCAGCAGGCGGCCGCGCAGCTCGGCGTTGGGCACGATATGCTCCAGGCCCATGGCGCCCTTGGCGCGGCGCCGGACGATGGTGCTAAAGCGCACGTTCACCGAGCCCGCGATGTGACCGGCGTTGAAGGCGAAGAAGGAGCGGCAGTCCAGCAGCAGGCACTGCGCGGCGCGCTCTCGCAACAACGCGCGCAGCCCTCCGGCGTCCAGGATGCCCACCTCCATTACCATGGCCAGCCCAAGCGACCCCAGCGTGCCCGTCCCGCGGCCCTCCAAAAACAATCTGTCGGTCCGACGCGGTATCCTTGTGGCCCTAACTCCCCAAGTGCTCGCTGCTCTGGGTCTAGTTTCACCGCGCGTCCTGCCCGCCAGTCCTTCGCTGCGCGCTCAGCCCTGGGAGCGCGTTTTTATGTGGCCTCTCTGGGGGGCGGTCCCGGGCGCGGCGCGGGAGGAGGGGGGGGAACGGTTTGTTTGTTTGAATGGTGATCACGTGACATGTTGGTGACGTCACCCGCCCTGCCGGGCTTGGCGCCGCCGAAGCCAAAGGCAAAGACGTCATCGGCCTGGGAGCGGGTCGGCTTTGCGCGCTGGCTCACGGCCCGGCCCCCACCCTGCTGTCCGCTGGCCCCGCAGACAGGACGGAGCGCTGCCAGTCCTGGTGGTCAGGACGTGCGGCCTGAGGTCGCGCCCCGGGACACCTGCCCGGCTCCCCTTCCCGAGCCTCCGCCGAGAGCGTAGGAGCACTGCTGGGACCACGATCTCAACTGGTCCTGCTCGCGTTGTTGGAGTATTGGCCCGGGAGAGCCGAGCGGAAAGGGGGAAGGAGTAGAGAGAGATGACCAACTCGGTAAACTCTGTGGCTTTACGGAGGACAAATGGCGAGAGTCGAGACGTCCTTCTTTAGTGTCACTTTAAAATGTTTTTCGCCGAACATGGGAAAGTACCTTCAGGCAGCTCCCTACCAGAATGTTATCCCTTCCGCGATGGTCTTTAGAGGACTTGGAGCCAAGAAAGGAGGGTCGAAAGATCGGGTGTGGAGCCCAGGTTTGGCATTTCGGGGCGACCTGGGCAGGGCTCGACAGCGCCGCCCAGGGACCGCCAAGCACGTTTTGGCGTGGCACCAGAGGTTGTTGCTCCCCGACTCCCTCCACATACACGCACACGCACGTGCGCGCACGCGGGGGCATACACAACTTTCTTTTGTTTTATTTTGTTTTGTTTGTTTTGAGATAGGAGTCTTGCTGTGTAGCCCTGGTTGGCTTTGAACTCACAGAGATCCTCCTGCCCCTGCCTCAACCGGTAGGTGTTGAGGTTAATGGCATGCACCCCCAAACCTGGCTCATCATCTGTATTGAACAGAAGCTGGGCACACTAGGGACCCAGGGCTGGGGGCTTGGAATCCTCTCCTATGCTGGCCAAACTCCAACGGTCACACCCAGGTCCTTGTACTCCAGAGAGGCTGAACTCCTAATCCAATCCCAAGGTGCCTTAGGAGTATTGCCAAAACCTGCACTTTGGCACCTGGGAAGACCCCAATGGTGCCTGTGTCCTTCCCCCAAATTGGGGCCACGAGCCCCAGCTGCGACACCACGGAGTTGGATACATAAACATAAACATTGCACCACTCTGCAGGGGTGCCGAGTCAGGAACATTCTGCGGTTTCTTCCTCTCTACTAGAGGAGGTGTATTACTGGTCACCATGTGTCGTTGCTCTGCAACGTCCGTTCACTTTGGCCTCCCTAGCTCTTCTGTTCCTCCTGGGTTCTTTGTGGATTCTGAAGGGCGTTTTACCTTCCTTTGAACCTTGATCTAAAAGGACAGCAAAGGAGTCAGATAACACCACCCTCCCTGCATCTCAGCGACAGAAAGAAAAAAATTATTTGTTTATTCTACTTATTCCGCTGAGAGCCTCAACATATTTTTTGTGTTGAATCATAAAATGTTACAGCTGCTGCCTTTGGCGTACCAACTTCATTTTTTCCTTTTTATTTTATTTATATATACACTTTTTTTTGCAAAGCCATTCATTATATCTTTTTCTATCCAAAGTTTTCAAAAGTACCTATTTATATAAATGCAGTGGCATGGTCTGGCACTGGAGTTAAATGTCTGCTGGTCCCTGCGGAGTTCTGCTCTCTTCCCTCCCTGGAAGGAGCATAAAAAGTGGGCTGGAACCCAGCGGTCAGTTGACTGTTGGGAGCCAGCCATTTTCTTTTCTATTGAGCCTTCAAGGCAGTATCTGTACAAAGGATACCATGCAGCATGGCTTGGTGACAGTCCCTTGTGAAGCAGGAGGGGCAGGACACCGGGACCTTTCCCCTCCTGAGTCACCGACTCTGTTTCTCCCCTTCCCAGACATGATTCTTATATCATGAGGTCCCTGGGCTGTGTGTTTCAGAATCTGGCATCAGAACCTTACTTAGCGGGCATCTCCAGTTGGGTCCTTGAGAGACACCTAGAAACCTCAATTGGTTGGAACTCCAGCTGACAGAAAGCTCCGTGTACCATAGAGACTTATTCTATGATCCACTTGTTCAGAAAGAGTTAGCAAAGGTCTAGCCACCCAAGGTCCCAGTCCAGGCAGTGAGAATGCCCTGGTGACAGGGGGCAGAACCAGAGAGGCGGAGGGATGGGCAGCTTGCACTGTGTGCTTAGCTGCTGAGGGCCCAGAGCAGGGTGAGTCAGTAGCTGTGAACTCTGGGAGAGGCTGGTCCTCACTGGCCTGAGCATTGGCAATTCCAGGTGTGCTTAGGAAACAACTCTACAGGCAGGTGGGGTGGTAAGAGCCAGCTAAAAAAGACTTAGCCTGCCTCCCCTCTTTCTGTGCGGCGTCAGTCACGTCTCCTCGCTGCACCTTCCTGTGACTGTGGAGAAGAGCATCACCTTCTATGTGGGTCCTGTGGGAACACTCAGGGCACAGGGTTGGCACAAGCCTATGAACTTGTCAGACCCTTTCAGAGTTCATTTAGGATCTGTCTGGGGAGTCAAAGAGGGAAAGCAGGAGAAGCTCCCACTACTGACTGAAGGTGATCCCTGCCCACTGTCTCCTCCGTAGCATTAGGCAAGTGACTTACTATTTCTGAGCCTCAGTTACCATACTTATAAACTGGGAATAATGGCCATGTAGAACTAAACTAAATGGTGGGAGAAAGGCCTGGTGGGATCCCTGCAGAAGAATTGCGCCCAGGGGAGGGGTGGATGCCCTTCTCTCTTTCCCCTTGTCTCCCCTTGTGTCAGTCAGCTTTCCGGCACTGTGATAAAATACCTGAGATAAACAACTTAAGAGAGGAATGGAGATGCCAGCCCATCGTTGGATGGCCGAGCATCAGAGGGGGAAAGATGTAGGGAGGTCAGAGCAGAGAAAAGAAGCAAGGAAGACCAGAGTGGCCACAAGGACCCACCCCCTTCAGCGAGGACCCTCCTACAGTTCCCACCAGAGTCCTCCAAGCTCTGAGCATCGTCATATCCATCGATGAGACGAGCGTCACTTCCCCAAAGTTTCCCGAGCACTGCTGCAGCGGGGACCAGGCCTTCAATACGTGAGATTTCGTAGGGGACATTCCAAATCCAAGCCTCATGACTTCTTGCTCCATAACCGTCTGTGACTCCCATTTCCCACATCAGTCCTCTGGCATGGGTCTCCCCGTGTCCTTGGCCTTCTGGCTGGCTCCCACTTGCTTTGATTTTGCTCTTGGGTTCCAAGAAAACTCAGCGAGCCTGTGTTCTTCGAATATTCTAGGCCTTTCCCACCCCCACAGCTTTGCTAACACTGCCCTCCTATCCCTGTCTTCTGAGCTCCTCAACACCCTTCTCCCCTGCAGACCCTGCAAAGGGGCTGTCTAAGCAAATCGAGACTCCTCTGGCTCTCCCCATCCCCCTCTCCTCCCTCTCCCTTCCTCTCCCGTTTCACCCCACGTCTTATGCCACTGGGCGGCAGATGTGCTGGTTGCAGGGAAGGCCTGTGATTTCTCCTCCATGGCAATGCCCAGCACGTAGTAGGCCCACAGTCTGTGACATAGCAGAGTGTCTTTAAGAATACCAGTGAACTCTAACCTTTCTTTAGTGCCGGGTGCTTTACAGGTGTCATCTCCTGACATAGTCCTAGGAAGGGGTGGTTGCTAAGTTCAGAGAAGGGACATGCCAAGGGTCACACAGCTGGGAGTTGTCAATGCAGCTCTAGCATGAGACCGTTTCCACCTCCCTCTCCTGAGGCCTCAGTTTCTGCAAACTCAACACTGGCAGTGCTGGCTGAGGCCTCCGGCTCCCAGATGGCCTGGAGCTTTCCTCAGAGAGCCAAGATCCCTGCATCAGCACTGGATAGAGCCTGAACCCACCTAGCTCTTCCAACCCAGCCTCTCCAGTCCCTGATACCTTTGAGCTTTGGCCCACCCTATGGATTGACAAGGGAAACCCATCACCCTCCACACCCAGGCATGAGGACAGAGCCAGCCTCTATTGTGTAATTATTGCACACAGCTCTCTAATCAGGCCTGGTGCAGCTGTGTCATCTTATGCATCCTCCTCACTTGAGAGAAGTGAAGCTCAGAGAGGTTAAGCAACTTGTCCAAAGTCACACTGTGTTCAGAACATCCTAACTGGAACTAGTATGGCGCCAACTTTGTGTTCAACTTAACACTGCTTATCTCAAGAGGCTGCCTGGCATCCCTTGTACCTTTTTCCCTAGAAATACAGTCAGAATGGTGGGTTTTTACTCAGATGTGTAACATCTGAAAACAAGAAAGACAAAAGCATTAAAAGGCAGTCATGGAGGACGGTGGCATCACTGTTACCACCAAGTTCAAGTTGGACAAATTGCATTACTTCTCTGACACTGCTCATCAAATGGTAGCAGTTTGTGTTCTGAAGGGAGATACAACAGCAGAGAGACAGGGAGAGACACAGTCCAGCCCAGGAACCAGCCCTAGCCCTGCCTCTCTCAAAACCCTAAATATTTATTCCATTAAGGGGAAAAGTCTGCCAGCCTCTGACATGGGCTCGTGGCTGGAAGGCCCTGGAACGTGTTCGGTTGATCTGTATTGTTGTTCTTCTGCGACTATTCATAAGCTCCGCCCCCCCAGGATGCATCATAGAGCAATATTTGTTTTCTTCCTCTATTTCAGTGTGTAGAAGGCACTTTTGTCTTAACAGTTCTTAGAGTGTGACTTAGGCAGAGGCCTGTCCTAGTTGATGGATGTAGTAACAACTGTCAGCAACTTCCCTTCTGAACTGCATCTGACTTAGTGAGGTAGGTATTAGGGTCTGAAACATCTAAGTCCAATAAAACAAAAAAATAAGGTTTATCATGGAAGAGTATTTCAAATATGCCGTTACTCAGCCACAGATATAAGAGTAGGGTATAGGCTTGTTAAAAAACTGTTGAAGTTCAGGAGCTTATTGCCTATGGCAACTGAGGAGTCTTGCAGTGGGGCCTCAGCCTGGAAGGATGTCAGAGGAATGGATGATATCATCTCACAGAGCTCTAGATCAATGTGGGATGGAAACACATTTGGCAGGTGGCCCCCTTAACTGCCATTTCCTCCTGGGAGCAGATAACCCATTGGACCCCTGCATAGAGATGCATTTGTCTCTAGAATAGTAACTCCTAAAGCTTTGCTGTAGGAACACTTCCCCATGAGACCACCTGCATGCTTGGCCATGGGTCCTTACTCTTCTTGGTCCCCAGTACAAAGTGCAAGGCACAGTGTGATGTGCAAACACCAAACACATGGACCAGTCCAGGAACCAGCAGAGGAGCAGAGGTGGTGGGACTCTACCATTTCCATGGGCCTTTTCCTGACCCAAGGACACAGCCTGTCGACCATAGCTAGCAGAGTCACATCCTGCTGTCTGCTGGCTGAGGGAACAGATGCCTGGAGGAGAGGCGACAACTCTCTCCTGCTTTCCTTTCTTTTAACAGGGTATAAATAGAGATATAATTCCCTCTTCATAATTAGGAAACAGTAATTAACATCACTGGGAGCAAATGAGTTTATGCTTTGTCTGGTTCAAAGTCTTGGGGGGGGGGATTGTCTGCCATGCAAGGCATGCAAATAATCACAGATGAAGACTTGGGAAGAAGGGAGTCCCAGCGTCCCACTTTTCCCCATGTGTCTATCCTGGGGGTTTGCTGGCAATCTGGCCCTCTGCCCACAGCTTCAGACTTACATCCTGCTATGATGATGATACAAACCCACAAGGTAGGGACCCTTACCACCACCGTGGGACTAGAAGAGGAAGCCAAGGCCAAGAGGAGTCAGTGAGCTTTAACAAAGATGCACCCCAAGTGCTCTCTCCACCTTCTAAGACTTTTGTCCTTATCTTCTGGGACACACAGAAGGTGTGGCACAAGGGTGGGGGGTTTGCGCCGTTTTGCTGTTCATTTGTCAGGAATGATAACTTGCAGGAACCCGCTACTAGATGCTTCTTGGTTCCAAGAGAAAGGGAAAAGTGAATATGATAGCACCTCCAGCCTTCAGCAGGGTCTGCCTGCCTGACTCACTGACCACACTGGACAGATGACTCATTCACTAGGCTTGACCTCAATGGGTTTGGCCACCCATCCAGAGTGAAGTCACACCTCCAGTGCCCTGATGCATTCATGCCTCGTTTCAGCCAGCTCCAAAGGCAGACAAGGGACAGGCTTCGGTGGGCCTGCTTGGGGTCAGAGACAAGAAGGCCCACACATACTCTATTGATCTTCACTGGGCTGCTCGCATGGGCCTGAGCCTTACCTTCAGGGGCCTATTTAGTTGGTTATGGCCACAGAAGAAACCTCACAAATTAAGAGCTTTCAAGAGCAGAACTTGGTCAGCAATCAGCTTTGAAGGCCAGAAGTCTGCTCATAAGGTAACCACAGGGTGTGTCCTCATGGGAGACTGCAACCCTCCCCTCTCAGCAAGCTGTTGCTGATGTTTGCTGGCCATCCTTGGGTTCCTGCAGGTGGCCACCGATCTCTACCTTCATCTTTACCTGAGGTTCTCAATGTGCACATGACCCTGTCCAAAATTTCCTTCTCTGCAAGGACACCATTCTTGTTGGATCAGGACCACTCTGTCCATCTCACTTTGACTTGCTCACTTGTGTAACTGACCCTGTTTCTAAAGGTCATTGTCTGAAATACTGGGGGAGAAGGGGTTGTCAATACTTCATTTTGCATTTTGCACTCTCAAAGACACCTCTCCCTAAATGTTGTAAAAGCATGCTCACTTGACACTCATGTGGTTTGTTCATCCCAAAATTTTCTCAGCCGTCTGTGTCAACAGCTCACAACACAGGCACCTGCACTCATGAATACATACCCATATGCACACTTACACACATAATCAAAATGAAAATTAAGTCTACTTTTAAAAAGTAAAATCCATTTATGGATAAATAACTAGTATTTGGGAGCTTGTAGAAAGATGCTCCACCTTTGTCATAAGAGACAATAAGACAGCCGGGCGTTGGTGGCGCACGCCTTTAATCCCAGCACTTGAGAGGATCTCTGTGAGTTTGAGGCAAGACTGGTTTGCAGATCGAATTCCAGGACAGTCTCCAAAACAATACAGAGAAACCCTGTCTCGAAAAACCAGAGAGAGAGAGAGAGAGAGAGAGAGAGAGAGAGAGAGAGAGAGAGAGAGAGAGAGAGAGAGAGAGAGATGAGACGTGACTCCATTAGAGACACTGTTTCTTCCATCCCATGGGCAAGAGGACAAGAGCTTAGGGGTATTGCTCTGGGATGATGACTCTGAATGCAGACTGGATCTTGGCGTTGCAGAACCAGTGACTTTTGTGATTGCTTAGGGAATATCTTGTTCTTAAGATATGTATCCTGGAGTATTTAACAATGAAGGGTGATGAAACACCATGGTCAAAGCAACAGGGAAGGAACTGCTTTATTTGGCTTACACTTTACATGGCTGTTTCTCATCACAGGAAATCAGGACAGAACTCAAACATGGCAGGAATCTGGAGGCAGGAGCTGTCGAAGAGGACTTGGCGAGATGCTACTTGTGGCTTGCTCCTTACAGCTTGCTCAACCTGCTTTTTATAGAAACCCAGGACAATCAGCTCAGGGGTGCACCACCTACATTGGGCTGGGCCCTCCCCCATCAATCACTAATGAAGAAAATGCCCTGCGGGTCTGTCTATAGCCTGCTCTAATGGAGGAATTTTCTCAGTTGAGGTCCTTCTTCTCAAATGACTCTAGCCTGTGACAAGTTGACATAAAACTAGCCAACACAAAAGGTCATGTTTTGACAACTTGCTCTCAAATGATTTGGTCATCAGTGAGGTTTAGGCTTGGAAAAGAGCCCTGGTCTCTTTTGCTTAAGAAAGCCACTTATACTGGGAAATGAGTGGGATTGGGTTACATGATGTAAAATTTCCAAAGAAACAATGAAAAAATATGTTAATAAATTTTTCTCTAATTAAAAAAAAGAAAGAAAGCCACTTATGTGATGAGGCATGAAGATCAGAAATTTAGTGTCATTCTCAGATTCGTAGTAATTTTGAGGCCAGTTTGAGCTTTGTGAGACCCTGTTTCAGGGTTAGGGGAAGAAAATAAATGTGACTATAGGTCAATGATAGAGTACTTGCCTAGCATGTGCCAAATCCCAGGTTTCATCCACATCACACACACAAATAAAATGAGTTCATTTTCTTGATCACCTACCCGAAAATTTAACGCATCTTTCTGATGTGTCTTATTGTCATAAACATCTGGCAAGGATTTGTAGCATTCTGCTCTCTTAGGCTCAATGCTTTCAGGTACTAATTGAGAATGGAGAATAACAAGCAGGTAGTAATAAAGCAACTATGGATTCTACCCCAGGAATCACCTCATGTTGTGGTGCCCCCCAACCATAAAATTATTTCATTGCTACCTCATAACTGTAATTCTGCTACTGTTATGAATCATAATATAAACATCTGATATGCAGGATATCCGTTGTGTGACTCCAGAGGGGTCTTGAGTCTCAAGTTGAGAACCACAGTAAATCCAATTCAGTCTGGCAGTCCCCACCTGAACTAAGTGTCAGATCAAAGGTCAAGGGCTCTGTGCCCAGGGCTGTCCTTCTCTCATTGCAGATACAGGTTGCAAACCCCGGGCTGTCCCACCTAAGCTTGTGACTGCTATAGAAGTTGGTGTTCGCCCAGCTTTTCCTGAGGCCCAGTGAGTTCACTTGAGTCAGCTCACAGGTCTCAGGAAACACATTTTCCTATTTACTGCAGATGACGTTAGAAAGGATACAGATGAGGGAACAGCTCAGTGAGGGGTAGGAAGAGGTGTGGAAGATTCCACACCCACTTGAGGACTCTGATTCTACACTTACGGGACTATCGCCCTTTGGGAGTCCACAGTCTCCAGTTGTGAGGATAGCTCTCCATATTCTGTTCTGGGTTTCCAGGAAGACTTCACTGCATGAACCAGGTAGGAATATGATTGGATAAAAAGGTCTGATCAGATGATAGACTAGATGGGGAAAGCCACCAAGGCTTATCCAGAGTCTTCCTGGCTACTCTGTGCCCCTGTGCTCTCCCATTTGGTGCAGGACCCCCTTCTGAATGGGAGTCTTCAGACCTACTACCTGCTAGACATTTCTTAATGGCCCGCTCTACAGCAGAAAGTTGGGGAAGCATGTCCCTGAGCAACGTGAACCTCTCTGGCCTGCCTTCATGGTGAAGGCAGGAGTGTGAGGGATCATAGATAAAACTCAAAATGAATGTGCCATAGGGTCACATTTGAAAGTCTGTAGGTTGAAACATGTGAATAAAAAAAGAACTCATAACTGAAACAAAAGTCATTTCTGACCTCAATTTAAGTGTAAGGTGCTTTAAGAAGTCAGAATGCAAACAGTTCCCAGTTAGAAAGGAAAAAGTGTGACCCTGTCCCACACCCTCAAACTTCTGCTCTGTGAGCACCCTGAAAGGATGGCACCAGGAGGAACCAGTCTCCCTAAGAGATGTCACAGTGACATCTTCCTCCATGGACACAGAGGGTTGGGAGTACAGGACCTCAGCAGGGCCGCAGCTCAGTCTCCTGCACCGTTCGTTCTCTTGCTCATCCAGAGCCTGCAGCCCGTGTGGGACACTGGGGAAAATGAAATGAGCCAGCACCATCCCAGTGGATGCCAGTGTCCAGCACAGAGAGAAGCACATGGGAAATGGGCTTTGCCCTCAGGGAGCTGAGCACAGGAATAGGTAGTCCAACTCAGGTGAGGAAGACAGCAGAGGGGAGGGGAGGGGAGGGAGGGAAAGGATACCTTTGAAGGGTACTACCTCCAACACCCAACCCAGCCCAAGCTGGGCTGGGGACTCACCCCAAGGCCACCCTTATCCATTCCTAGTTCTAGAACAAGATGCAGAATAGAAAAGATGGGCAGAGGGACTCTGACTCTCAATCCCACAAAGAGCCAATGTTTACCAATGAACAGTAAGAGAATAATTAGATAATAGATGGCACTATATAAACACATACACAAAGTATGTTATGAATATATATCATGCACATCATCTATTATTGGAGTTCAGTTCTGTTTCCTCACACAGACACCACACTCTTCAGATGCTCAAGAGCCATCTATAAAATAGTATGGTGTATGTCTGGAGAGCCCACACACATTCTCATGAAGACTAGATCAACCCTGGGTTATTTACTCTACCCAGTACAATACAGAAGCTGTTGCTGGTTTTATACTGGTGAGCCAGGGAACACCTGATGTGTGTACGTGCATAGAGGAGATACATAAAGTGAAAAAAGAGGGTTGCAGAGGACAGGAGATGGCTGGGCAGTAGTGGCACATGCCTTTAATCCCAGCATTTGGGAGGCAGAGGCTGGCAGATCTCTGACTTTGAAGCTAGCCTGGTCTACAGAATGAGTTCCAGGATAGTCAGAACTCACAGAGAAACCTTATCTCAGGGAAACCTTATCTCAGGGAAACACACACACACACACAGAGAGAGAGAGAGAGAGAGAGAGAGAGAGAGAGAGAGAGAGAGAGAGAGAGAGAGAGAGAGAGAGAGAGAGAGAGAGAGAGAGAGAAAGAGAGAGAGAGACAGAGACAGAGAGAGACAGAGACAGAGAGAGACAGAGACAGAGAGACAGAGACAGAGAGACCAGGAAGCAGAGGGCAGAGGTGATTCGGTTTTAATGAGGGTGTTCCCGGAAAGCTGTCATGAGAAGCCGACATTTGAGTAGCCATCTGAAGAGGAGAGGAAGTGAGCTATGGGTTATCATGACTCCTTGGGATCAAATGACCCTTTCTTTCACAGGGGTTGAATATCAGATATCCTGTATATCAGACACTTACATAAAAATTCACAGCAATAGCAAAATTACCGCTATAAAGCAGCAATGAAAATGATTCCATGGTTGGGGGTCACCACAACATGAGGAACTACATTAAGGAGTCACACAGCATTGGGATGGCTGAGAACCCCTGATCTAGAGGGAGAGACAATTCTACACAGACACCTCAAAACAGGAGCTAGCTTTCCAGGGACAAAGAAGCATCTGGCTTAGAAGGCAGACACAACTGTCTTTAATCTCTGATAACATGACCCTTCATGTAGAAAGGCTGGAGAGTCTAAGAGAATGCACCATCAGAAGCAGAGCAAGGTGGAGAGATGGCTCAGGAGTCAAGCACTTGCTGCTTTTCCAGAGGACCTCCGTTCAGTTCCCAGCCACCAAAAGGTGACTCACAGCCAACTGTCTGGGACTCCAGTCCATCCCAGGGGATCCTTCTGGAACTTCTTCTCATGGGCTCAGTGGCACCAGGCACTCACAGGGTATGCACACACTGGCCCGCAGGCAGGCAAAGCATCAATACAAACAAAATCAACCTAAAAAAAGACAAAGTTAAAGAGAAGAAGTTGGGCTGGGGGTGTGGTGAGCCGAAGGAGCACCTGCCCCATGTGCATGACGCCCTGAGGTCCATTCTCTCCCTCTACTAAAACAACACATGAACCAGAAATGTATAAGCATAGCGAGGCCACAGGCCACAAGGATAGTTACAGAAGTCCCGTTTGTTTAAAGGTACATGGGAAACAATCAGAGAAAACTGCAACTCAATCCCCAGCAGAAGTGCACAGACCTTTACTGAGAAAACACCCAGTAAATAAGTAGGGTGGCCTCCCATGTTGTCAGCTTAAAAGATGCAGTGTTTTGTGACGATGTCCACTATCCTCAAATTCCTCTCAAAGTCCCATGGACTTCTTTTCTGAATCTGAGAAGCTTGATTCTAAATTACAAGGAAATTAAAAACACCTACAATGACCAAAACAGTTTAGAAAAGGAACAAAATTATGGGACTTTCACTTCCTAACTTCAGATGTTATCATATAGCCATAGTGTCCAGGGCATCTCAGTGACCAGGGCAGCATCAATGTCCCGGGCATCTCAGTGTCCAGGGCATCTCAGTGTCCAGGGCATCTCAGTGTCCAGGGCATCTCAGTGTCCAGGGCATCTCAGTGTCCAGGGCATCTCAGTGTCCAGGGCATCTCAGTGACCAGGGCAGCATCAATGTCCCGGGCATCTCAGTGTCCAGGGCATCTCAGTGTCCAGGGCATCTCAGTGTCCAGGGCATCTCAGTGTCCAGGGCAGCATCAGTGACCAGGGTATATCAGTGACCAGGACAGCGTCAGTGACCAGGGCAGCGTCAGTGACCAGGACAGCGTCAGTGTCCAGGGCAGCACCAGTGTCCAGGGCATCTCAGTGTCCAGGGCATCTCAGTGTCCAGGGCATCTCAGTGTTCAGGGCATCTCAGTGTCCAGGGCAGCACCAGTGACCAGGGTATATCAGTGTTCAGGGCAGCATGGTGTTGGCAAGCACTGCCAGACAGGCCACTGGAACAGGAGTCATGGCCACCAAGAAATGAGCCATGGCTTGTGACCAGTTGATTTTTGACAAAGGTGTCAAGACAATTCACTAAGGGGAAGATTTTCTGGTAAAAGCACTTGCCAAGATCCAATATTTCACCAATCTCCTCCACCTGGTAAAGATTTCATGCAAATCTTTTACTCCCTTCTCCTGTTAAAACTTTTATTTATGATAGGTCCTCTGCCCCCAGCATCCCTGGCCTAAAGTGGCCGCCCCCTTTCCCCTTTCCTTTATTTCCCTTGTGCCAATTCTTTTAAAAGTAATCAATCAAAGCTGGGCATGGTGACACACGTCATTAATCCCAGTACTCAGGAGCATTGGCAGGTGGATCTCTGTGAGTTTGAGGCCAGACTGGTCTACAGAGTGAGTTCCAAGACAGCCAGAGCTGTTACACAAAGAAACCCTGTCTCAAAAAAACAAAAAGAGAGAGAGAGGGAGAGAGGGAGAGGGAAAGAGAGAGAGAGAGAGAGAGAGAGAGAGAGAGAGAGAGAGAGAGAGAGAGGGAGAGAGAGAGAGAGAGAAGAAAGAAAGAAAGAAAAAGTCAATTAAAAAAGCCATAAAGTCACTAGGAAAAGGCACAGTTACCACTGCATTGGAATAAAATGTAAGTGACTTTGGTCCTGGTGTGTTTGCTAGCATGTTGGGTCATGGTGCTCCCTTGCTGCCTCGCTGAGTTACTTTCACTTGTGTTTCTTTTTGTGGGACACCAAGAATATTTGTTTCCAACACCGCAAAGCCTGATGACCCTAGTTAAATCCTGTCTTAGGGTTTCTATTGCTGTGAGAAAACAAGA